GAGGCAGGCAAGGAGGGTGGCTTTTGCAAATCCACTGTGTTGGGAAGGAGGATGGCTAGTTTCAGTTTGAAAAACAACAACAACAACAACAAAAAAACAATGCTTCTGGAGCAGAGGAAGCCAGGAGGAACAGGAGGCAATGTATAATGCAGAGGTGGACAGGGCCACCTCAGTAGAGGTTGTAGGTCTGGCAAAGGCTTATGGCCTTTATTTTGAAACCAAATGGAAGCTCTGATCTCATCTGCAATTCCTAGAAGATCGCTCTGTTTGCATTATGGAAACAGAAAAGCAAGAGTGGATGCATTGTGATGACTTGGGTGACCATTGCTGTCAATTTGTACAGGAATGAGAATGACTTGGACTAAGGTAATGACGGGAGAGAGAGGTGGCTACCTGAATGGCATTTAGATGATACAATCCTTAGGATTTGGAAATGGATTCAAAGGGGAGGAAAATGGCTACCACTTCCGACTTTACTATGACTACCCCCGATTTTCAGATGAACTGATGAGAATCAGGGTATTGCTTCTCAAACTCTTAATGTGGGTAGGGATCACATGAAGATCCTCTTAAGAATGCAGATTCTGACTCAGTAGGTCTGCGATGGGACCTGTGATTCTGCCGAATAAGCTCCAAATGATGCTGATGCTGCCAGTCTACGGACTGCACTTTGAGAATCAGGGCTTAAAGAAGTGAGATAACTTACTCAAGGTCTGCTGGAATGGATCCTGCACTTTTAACCAGATCTGTCCCCCTCCAAAGCCCATGGCCTTAATCATAAACTCTATGGCTCCTGAAAGGTGGAGCCATTGTTATAAAAAGTCAATTGGAGCCAACTTCGGGAGGTTGTACACCAGGCTAAGAAATTTGGATTTTATCTGTAGGCAATTGGCAGCAGTTGAATATGTGTCAGCAGAGAAGGGTCCAATCAGAAAGCTTATGTTACAGTTTCTGCATGTATTTCCTGTGAGTATTTTGTTTCTGCTTTTTAATGTCGATCTCTTAGTTCAAATTGAAGTGCAGTTAAAAGGGGGAAAGAAAAGAACCAGGGCTCTGAACTTTGTAAGTAATAGGGATGGTTTATTAGATCATCTACTCTGTAATAAGGGCAATAATTGGCTCTTATTTAGTGTTTCCTGCCCAATCATCCCAAGGCACTTTACTAATAAGCATCATCTTTCTCTCAGAGCTGAAGAAGCCGATGGAGTGAGGCTAAGGGACTTGATGTAGTTGGGCTGGCTGCTGGGCATGTGTTCATCATTTCGGTGGCATCCAGAGTCTTCTGCCACAGTTCCTGTTCACACCTGAACATCGGACTTAACTGCTTGATTTGTCAGTGTCAGCATTTCCTGAATGTGTCCCAGGGACCAGTCGCCGAATAGGAAACTAAATGAAATTAAAAGTGTCAAACGTTTGGAAAATGCTATATGCATTATCTCCTTCATATTAGCACAGTAGGGCTCTGAGAAGTCCCACAGTAAAAGAATTAGTTTGACTCTGTATTACTGAGTGGTTTTCCAAACTAATTTGACCTTAGAATTACCCCCAACTCTTTTCTCCCTTCCAACTCTTGACATTCCATTCAACAGTTGTTCTGTCTGCCGGAGATTGTGAAATGCTGGTCTGTCTTCACAGATAACCACAGCCTTCGCATCAATATCAGTTTCCTGGACTTATGTTTTTTTTCTTGGGTGACTGGCAGATTTGCTGTTTTGGCATCTAGGTCAACAGCATAGCCTAGTTTTTACTTTGCTTTTATTTAAGCCAGGTGCCTTTACAGTTGTTAAAACTACATGTCCCTACTCCGCGGCGAGCCGGAAGGAAAGTCACTGACTTATCTGCCTGTTTCCCTGTTGTTAGGAAGGAGTGAGTTGTGCTTTTGTTTCTTTTCTTTGTTTCCACACGTTTAATTCTATTTTGGCAGTCATAGAATCTTCCTTCCCACTCTGTTTCACATAAAAGATTCCAGGAATAGGATCATTGCCAGACCTGACATTTACATTGAGCTATTTTTTTGTTGTTGTTAAGTATATAACATGAAACTTGAATAGTTTTTAAGAATCTGAATTAATTTGCTAATTTGAAAGTGAACTAAATTTGTCTTTTTGCCTGGAGGATGTAAGGATCTTGCATAAGATAAAGAAAACCTTTTAAAAAAACAAGTCAGACTATGTATATGTAGCATTCATATGAAACCAGAAAATTCTGGCTAAATAAGTTTCAAGATGTTGGTGGAATAACACACATGGTAAGATACAGTACCATACTAAGAGTGAAAACAAATGTAATAACAGAAAGAGAAAGTTGGATTTTTAAAAAAGCTATTGGGTATTTTAAAAGATGAATTTATAGCTACTGAATAGACTGTCTAAATGGGACCAGAGTTCCCTGAGCAGTCAGTGCATGTGCTGTCCTCAGCTTTGCTAGAGCTGGTTTCTTGTAGACAGCTGTAACATCTTTACTCTAGAAAAATGCCTTCCCATTTTGTTAGGCAGAAGAACAGGCTTATGAAGCTCCTTGAAAATACAGACGCCTAGACTTTCCCCAAGAAGATTCTGATTAGGGAGATCTAGCAGGACACATAACAATCTGTATTTTCAACCCCAAGACAAATAATTCTGAGGTAAAGTTTGAGGACAACTGCTCTAGATTTACTCTCTCAAGGTCTGGTGTACCCACGGTTCACACGGTTTGTTAAAAATGCAAATTCCAAGCCACAACTGTTTACCGTTGTGCAAGATGTGCAGTGCACGACCCACACTGCTGTTCTGTTGCCTCTGCCTCAACCTCAGATATTCTTTAGAAGGTCCAGGGCGGATTTCAGATATGTGCATTTATAACAAGCACTGTGCATGATTCTGATGAAAGGGATTCAAGAATCATATTTTGAGAATCATGACTCTAAAAAGTAATTCAAAATGGATAGGCTTTGCGGCTGGACTAATGAATGGGGCCATAGGCTACCCAGATAAAGATCTGTGCAGATGAATTAGCAGGTCACCTAGGTTCTCTTTGTCCTTGACTCTGAGGAACAGCATTGCTGCTGCACACATGAGTGTGACCCCGAGAGGAAACCAAGAAGCTTTCAACACTGAGGACACAATAGTGAATGTTGTAGGAAAAGGTGGATCTGCCACCAGCCACTCATAAATTAACATGCCTAAGAAATGAGCTATAATATGGTGACGAGGACTTTCCTCTTTGTCCGCAACTAACTTTTTTTGTCAGACCCAGATATTGAGTCTAGAACAGCAATTCTCAAAGTGTGGTTCATGGACCCCTGAGGATCCCTGAGACCTTTTTGGGATATCTGCAAGGTCACAACTGTGCTATCATAATAATACGTTGTTATTTGTCTTTTTTGCTATATTGACATTTGCACTGATGGTACAAAAGCAATGGTAGGTAAAACTGTAGCATGAAGCAAGGCAGCAGCACCAAACCGTGCTATTTATTGATCTCTTATTTTTTACCACCATGACTTAAAGTAAAAAAAAAAAAAAGCCAGTTTCATCTAGAAATATCCTTGATGAAACAGTAAAAAGTATTAATTTAATTGATTTTTGATTCTCAAATATACTTTTTTTTTAGTATTCTGTGTGATGATACAGGAAGCATTACATAAATAAATGCAGCTGCATACCGAGGTGTAGTTTGACAAAAAGCACGTGTGCAGCTGTTTAAATTGTGAGCTTAACTGGCGCCTTTTATATGGAACACTATTTTTTACTTGAAAAAACAATTGACAGATGAAATACGGTTATTCAGACTTCGATATTTGACAGACATTTTCTCAAACTGCGTAAAGTGAGCCTGCCACTTTAAGCCACTGGGCAGTATTTGTTGCCAATGATCAAATTCAAGCTTCCAAGCAAAAATTAGAGTTTTGGAAAACTTGTGTCTGCCACCATGAACTTGACAGCTTCCCAATACTTAAAGACTTTTCTGATGAGATCAATGGTGATATTAACAAATGTGATTCTCTTTTATATCATGTAATGAAATGTGTCAACGTTTGGAAGATCTGCATAATTCAGTGAGCCAATAAATTCGACAAGAGAAATGCATGCTTTTACAAATTTTTGCATGGGGAAAGGATCCATTCAAAGTGCAACAGAGACCATGGATTTTCACATAATAGGGCACTAAAAGTTTATTGATACGTTTTCAGATTTCACATTGCAACTAGCTATTAAAGAAACTACCCATTTGCCAAATTTTCATGTAGTATCAAAGAAAAATATTCACACTTATTTGAAAAGGCTGTTAGAATACTCCTCTTGGGGAATTGGAGCTGGGCAAGATAGCGGCAGGGGATTAAGACATACAAACTACTGTGTATAAAATAAATAAGCTATGAGGATATATTGTACAGCACAGGAAATACAGCCAATATTTCATAATAAATATAAATGGTGTATAATCTATAAATTTTTGAATCACTATTTTGTATACCTGGAACTAATATTGTAAATCAACTATATCTCAATAAAATAGTCCTCTTGGATTTTCTTGACATACTTTAATCCAGAACAATAAATCATGATATAGTGCTGAAGCAGATCTGAGAATCCACTGGCTTCCTGTTAAGCTGAACATTAAAAAGAGTTTCAAAACTCTGAGACAGCCATTCTTCTCACTAGTTTTTTTTTGTTGTTGTTTTAGAAAATATATATGTTAATGTATAATGGGTTTATTATTGTTGTTTTTAAATGAATTTGTAGTGTTTTGAAATATGGTGATTTAATTTCTAATGGGGTAAATATCCATAGAGATAACCTACATAAGGAGAAGTTCTTTGGAGCTTTTAATGGTTTTTGAGAGAGTAAATGGATCTTGAGACCAAAATGTTTGGGAACTGCTGGCTTAGGGAAACATTTACTGAAGATGTTCCACGGAATGTTCTCCCTTGAGATGCTTAACAGAAACCCAGCGGCCAAATACAAAAGGCAACATTAAACAAGAAGAGCTTGGTAGTTAAGTTTAGAAATGCTATTAGCTACGGCTCCTTGTGGAGACACAGTTCATAATAGCATGTTAAAGTTTCAACCTGAACGTTGTTCAGTCCTCACTCTTCCCTAAACCCATTTAAGCATGAAAATACTTTCTTCCATGGAATAAACTTTGGGAAATACTGTTCCCTTGCCAACAAGGAGTGTTATCATTTTAAATATTTTCTAATATGATAGGTTAAAAAGTGGTATGTCATTACTCATTGACTTCTAAAATCTGGAGTTTTGTTTAAGGGTCAATCATGTTTTCCTTTAGACAGGAACCTCTTTACTCACGCCACCAGGGAGGTAAGGTTTGGCAGCTACAGAATGTTTCACAGCATTCTGGCTTTTCAGTTTCAATAAACTCAGGTTGTTTATCTGGCTTCAAAAGACAGGCAAACTCATGCAAACCAATGATGGTAAGAATGTGTTCATGGGCTTACATCAGTGGCCTTGAGAAGAGAATCTTGGCTCTAGACAGAAGGCAGTTAACTCAGCAGACTGTGCCTTTGCTTGAAATGAATGTCCTTTTGGTAGGACCTGATTTGTCCTTTTTGAGTTAGTGCATACTCAGTCATGCATGCTATCTGATTTGTTTTTTTCAGAGGAATTACCTATCATCAAGGCTATGTAAATAAGCAGTGTCAATTTTACCATATATATTTTTCCTACTAAAGAATGATATTCTGGAATCCTAATTTAGGAATAGGTTTGTTGAGCATTAATTCCTTAGTTGCTAGGACAAAATTATACTTGAAGGTAAACCTTGTTAATGGCTGTATTTCCACTTCTAGGTGTCAATCCTAAGGAATAAACAGAGCACAATTTTGAAATGTACTTACAAAGATGCTCTCTGTAGCATTATTTATTATAACCAAAGTTGAAAACAACTAACAGCTGACAAATGTGGAAACAATGAAAAACTATAGTGTATTCACATGACAAAATGCCATACAGACATTAAAAGTCTTGTTCTGAAGAATGTTTTACAATAGAGAATCATGTCCCCCAAAAGTATCAGTGAATACAGTAGGGTAAAAACATCATGCTGTGTGTTATCAGACTGCATTCCAGAAAGGTTGTTACAATTTACATTCCCACCATCATCTTTGGGCATGCTTTGTTCCCTGTACTCTTGCCAACTCTGGGTGTGCTTTTAAATAATATTCTTCAGTTTGACAGGGTAAAAATATTATGTCATTCTTACATTAAGGAGACATTCAACAAGGATGACAAAGAGCAGTAATTGGCATTTCCAGAAAAGACTTGACTCTAATTGTTACTTTGTAGGCAGAACTTTGGGCCACACTGACTACAGATGGGCTAACTCTGATTACTGACACCTGACAGCTCCTAGGGTCTGGGATAAAGTTCTAGAGCCCAGAGAAGTGATTTGAACCAGATTAAAAATAACCAAGAAAATCTCATTATAGTCAAATTTAGCCATTTATAATGTATCCTTGGATAGATTAAATAAATACTATGTTAAGGTCATCTCCATCCATCTGTCAAACTCTCATATAAACATTTAAAGAAACTGAGAGGCAGAGAGAGAATGTATTCCTGTCAGTCTCTGGTGTGTCAGAGGCTTTGTCATTATTAAGTCCTAGTAGATCATGGAATTGTCTGTCAAGTGATTAAAATTGTCATCACGGTTTCTACTTTTTATATCCTTTACTTCGAGCACGTATGCACAACGTTTGCAGAATGCCTGTGGGCTTTTTGGAGCCACTAAAGGGACTTGTTGCCTCTTTCCATTCCCTGCCACTCACCACAGATGTGCCAGTCATGCCTACAGAAATCTTTTGTCATAGTCATACTGCAACTAGGTAGAATACTGAAGGAAATGTCAAAAATGTAGCCATGTGAAAAGAATCAGGAGGCAGTGTTGTTATTCAAAGAGTTTGCTTCCGGCTTGGGCTCCTGTCTGCACGGAGCAGGCTGGATGTATAAATTCAGTGGTGCAATTAATTCTCGGACAAGATGAGGAAAGATGTAACTGCCACATTTGTATACATTTGGATGTCGCTTCACTAATTCATGTACTTATTTTCTTTGCGATTTCATCTGAAAGCATCTTTTGAGGGCTTTTTGTCGTTGTTGATTTTTTTTTTTATCTTTTGAATGATGAAAATGGACAAAAACAGAATTCAGCAAAATGTAAATGAATCAGAGCAAATGGGATGCAAGAATATATTGTGCAGATCCGGAATGGAAATAGAGATATTTGTTCTTCCTTTTTTTTTGAGAAGAATCATAAAACTTTCCATGGTGCGTCAGACATTGTGTTTTACATCCTCTATCCTCAGACATTTAAAGGGTGGCAGAAAGCATTTTTAAAGTGTCAAGGTTATTATTGTGCATTCCAATAATAAATTGTTTATTCTAACAGGGATTTGTTCTCTAACCCTGGTGTGATCTTTCACAACCACTGTGAATTTCTTCTCTTTGAAATAATAATTTAATTTTTAATGTTTTTACATTTTTCTATAATGCAGTCTCTTATTAGAATTATGATGATATCCCAGATGCAGATTTTAAAAAATATTCTGGACTGAATTGTGCAGAATGGCTATTGTCTATTGAAGCGGAGATCTTAGGACCCCACCCTGTGCATTGTTGAGATGTATTTTTGAGAATGCTGTAACATAAAATATACACTTCTAATATATTCTTCTTTAAAGGAAAGATCATTTTCAAACCTTACTATATGATAGAGAGGCCACAATATTAAGATAATTGACTGGGACTTGCTGGGGTGGGAGAGTAGAGGATAGATGGAGGGTGTATGGGTAGCAAATGCATGAATAGCTTCTTAATTAAACTACAGAATATTTAGGCTCCTTTCCATAGTTATGTAGTGAATTTTAAGTTTTCATGTATATGTGTGTATACCATTTATAACTACATCAGTATGTTCTTCAAAGGCTTGCACACACTACTGAAAACTGTGGATTTCAAAATTGCATTCCTCTCTGAGGGATCTAGTAATGGCATAAAACCACCATAGCCAAATGGTCCTAAGGGACCAGCACTGAATTTCAAACTGTAGTTTAATACAGTTGCTTTTTAGGAAAACACATGTGTCAGATCAGAATTAGTGTCCTTTGCGCCTATCATGTGTCTGTTTCTTCTCTTATTTTTATGAATCTTTTTGTTAATGTTTGTGGTGACCAGTCTTCACTTTATTAGCCTTGCAGCCTGGCTGTGCAGGAGGGCAAAGGTCCTCAGTTCCCTCTGGTTCTGTTTTCTGATCTGTGAAAGAGTGTTATTGACCGTCTTTAATGTCACTTTCATCTCTAGAGTTCTGTGTTTATGTCTCCCTCCTCTTTTATCCTGCATTCATTATAGATATACTATGAGGATAAAATATAGAAAGTATCATGAAAGTAGTTTGAAAATTGTAATGCAGTGTACAAATACAAAGTATGGCTGTTGCTATCTGGTATCACTTTCTATGATTGTTCTTCTGTCTACATGAAATTGCATTTTTCCAGGTGCATAGTATCTTAAACCTAAAAGAAATTTCCACAGTGGACTTAACATAGCATGTGCTAAAGAAACACTCGTGGATTGGCTCATTTTCAAGCTAGGGACTATATTTAGCTCTTGAACAGAGTAGCAGTCATTTGAAGCTCACCAGCTACTTTTAGGCATTTCAGGAGGCTAAAGACCAGGCTGGTATCTGAAAGGTAAGAATATATTCCCAGTCTTCCAGATAACCTAGCAGTTAATGGTCAGTTTTGAAAATATTGTTTTTAAAAAGTAGCTATAATGATTTATCAGAGGACTGGCCAGTGAACAAATTATGACCTGTGACTTGAATTGGACCACTCTGTTCTTCTGATTTGATTTGTGTTTAAAATCCTGACAGAATGATGTTGAAGAAATCAAGATGCAAACACTAATTGGTAAAAAAAAAATTTCATAGTTGTTTTTATGTCTCTTTGTGCCTAGAGCAAACTCTTGATCCACGTAACAAGAACCGCTTGAAATGCCATTTAGATTGGAAGTGCTGATGCAACACTAATGATTTTAGAGCAAATATGTTACTCTAATTTCCTCCATCTGCTATGAATAAAAGGATACGAGTTTGAAGTCTAGGAGAATTGTAGGGAAAATTGCTCTTAGAAAAATTGAAGGTATTTTAAAATGTGTGTAGGTATAAGGGAAGGATGATTCTTTGTAAAAAATTTTATCAAGTGTTTCCAAAAGAATGGGAGCTTTATTGTAGCTCAATGGAAATGTCAATAATTTTTCTGCATAGTTTTCCTAAGGCTCCAGGAGAGTATCAAATGACTTGAGGACCAAACACCTAGGTTTTATTGTGACACAACCCTGATGATTTGGATGAGAATATTCTCTATGGGTTTGTTTAGAGTTTCTAACAAGGGATAAGAGCTACTGCTCTACCAAAAAGAATGGTTCTTTTCTTTCTTTGAGGATTGTCCTCTTTTGATTCCATCCATATGCAGTGGAGGGGGGGGGAGGAAAGGACTATATACCCTGCTGTGTTCCTCGTCAACTCTTTAAATCAGTGTTGGTATCAGTAGAATTTTGAAAAAATTCTATAGCCATTTATTTGAAAATCTAGAAGAAACAGTCATTCTTTAGGAATATATAAAACATCAATATTCACATACGAAAAGTAAAAAAAATTAATAATAATAATTGTAAAAGAAAGTGGAGGATTGTTTAAGTGATACGATTCAAAAAGGCACCAGGCCCAAACGGTTTTATAGCTAAATTAAATCTTAGCATGAAAAACATATACTCCCTATGGTTATCAAACAATTAAGACTCTAGAGAAAGAAAGAAGGGGCCTCAAGTAATTGTACAAATAGAGCATAACTTTATATCAAAACCTGATATAGATAGTACTAAAAATATTTTCATACCAATTTTATTTTTGTGTGTAGAAGTATATACATTTAAAAATAGCAACTACAGTCCAATTGCTTATGAAAATATAATAAAATGTTTGAAATTGGGTTTATTTCAAAAATTATAAACTGGTTCAGAATTGGAAGTTTATCTGAACCATTCATCACATTAGCAGATTAAAAGATAAAAAAATGGTATGATTATATCAATACATGCTGTGTTAGTTCCTGAAGGTTATTGTAACAAAATATTAAATTGGGTAG